GATGTTTCTAACTCTCTATCTCTCTCCCTTCCTCTCTGTAAAAAATCAATAAAATATATTTAAAAAAATAAAAAAAGAAGGGGTTCAACTCTTAGGGACAGTTTTATATTTGCAGGCTTATCACACACACACACACACACACACACACACACACTCATGCATGCACACATGCACTCATACACAAACAGACACACTGCTAATTTATTTACATTGAGAAATGCAGTTGTTACTTAGATAAAAAGCCTTATGCTCCAGTACTTTGTAGACAGGTACACCTGGGAAGCCAAACTCTAGTCCAGAGGTTGCTTGGCAACCATGGAAGTAGAGCAAAGGGTTTTCGATGGATAAAATTCATCTTCACAGTGGGGAAATAACTGACTCTGGACCATTGGATCCTGGGACTAAGCCATCTTTTCCTTTGGATTGGGCTTTGAATAATATTCCAGAGTAAGCCTCTCAGGATTTTGTGTGGAGCTTGCATTGCAATGGAAACAGTTTTTCTTTAAATATGCTGATACCTTTCAGCAAGTTAACTTCAGTTCAGGAGCCATTCGTTCTCATTGAAATCAGTTTGTATATCTTTGTTTTGGTGCTTATTTGATGATTTTACTCATCGATAGCTCAGGGAACAATATGATTTGCCTGCTTTCCAAATTTTGGGTATGTGGGGAGGAATGCACCACACAACCATCTCCTTGTAAAGGCCCACTGAAGTATTACTTGAAATCTGAGGTTCTTGTTCCACAGACCTGCCATCTGCCATAAGGACATAAGAAACTTTCTACTTGAGTCAGCACTCAGCTTTCAATTTCTGGCAGTGATACCAGTGGGCAATTTGTTGGATGGTGTAATAATTATCCTTCTAGACATTCAACCTGAAAACAATATGGATGTGCTCTCCACATATTTAATTTTTTCTTTATGAATCCATCATAAATTATCTCTGCAAATTTTTGTAATCTTACCTGAAGTAGGTTGAACTTACTTACAACACGTTATTTCCTTATGTAACTGCTTTTGGAATAGGTTTCTTATGTTTAGTTCCTAGCTTTCTTTCAGTTTGCTCTAAAACAATGTCTTAAAATCTTCAGGAGCCCTGCCATGAACCCTCATGGCAGAATTCCATATTGTAAAGAAGTTACAGTTTCCCACCCACATACTGCCTACCGCTTAGGTATTTTTAGTGGTCACAAACATATGGTCCCTTCCATCTTCATCGATCCTTCTTGAAGAATCCCGATGTTTTTAGGGTCATTTGAACCACACTCCGTCCTGAGTGTGTCTGTGTTTTATAGGTATCAAGGCTGAGCCACAGTTGTTCAATATTTTGCTCCACCTGTGAACAGCAAAGGAGATTTTAAAACCCCGACACAAAGTCCGAGTCATTGTGAACTTGGTCACATGGTTCAGTTTATGGAATGGCAAGCTGGCCCTCAGAGAGAGAGAGAGAGAGAGAGAGAATGAATCAAGGAAGCTAAGGCAGAAAAGGATTCCCATAAAGAATCCTTGGCTCTGCAGGGCGATGGGAAATTTGGGAGGACTTATAAGTGAGCTTCCCAGGGAGAAGGGCCTTTCGTCCTTTGGGGGCTGATAATTTCGTGCGGTTAAGAAGAGGCCTACTGCATTCTGTATTGGGAGAGGGGTGTGTGGGGTTCCTTCCCCTCTTTCCACTCCTCTATCCTTGCCAAGCATTACTGAGACCTTACTGGGTGCCAGATATTATGCTAGTAAGCATTAGTATGGATTAATCTTACATGGATTATCTGATATCTAATGAAAGAACCAAGGAGTACCTTTTCTACATTCGTTTCTCTAATCTATTTAGAGACCACTTTGGTACTAGTAAGTAATAAATGCACAACAGCTGTCTTTCTATAAATGGGATTATGCTGTGTGCTGTCCAAGTTTCAAAATAAATTGCCTGGCTAAAAGTACCCTGTGTTCAAGTACGGTACGTTTTTTCCTTTAGTAAAATATTTCTAGCTCATTGAATAATACCTCTCAGTTATTTGCAGAAGGCTTTTCTCAAACAGTCTTTCCACTTCTTGATGTGGACAAAAGAACTGAAAGTATTTGTATTAAAGTCTGGCTTCTGTGGGAGGTGTCCCCCTTCCCTGCTCTTTCACTCATTGTCCTTTAGTCCAAAACCACGTGGAAGCAAAGGGAGGGCCCTTGCTCCTAAAAGCGTCTGCCAGGCTGTCAACCAATCAGCAGCAATTCAATCCAACTCACATGTTGATTATATTAATGATGAATGTGGAAGCATTTGATAATTTATATGAGATAAAACAGGGCCTCTAGATCAGGGGTGGGGAACGTCCAGCTCATGGGCCATATTAGACTCACAAAATCATTTGGTCTGGCCCTGCCAAGGCATTAGGGGTGAGTTAATTAAATGTTTGACCAAATATAGCAGGCTAATTTTTAAGGTGATAATTTTGTATGGCCTGCGAATGATGTTATAAATATCAAGATGGCCGTTGGCAGGCACAAAATTCCCTACCCCTGCTCTAGATGAAGGAGTGGCTGAGGCCCAGGAAAGTCTCAAAAAGCCCTGCTCTTGGCTTACCCTAGCACATTCTGGGCAAATGTGAAAGAGGCACCTCTTCCTGCCTCCACAGATGGTCTTGGCCCTACTCCATCCCCATTTCATGCCACTCTGCCCCTTGTTCTTTTATTTTTAATACTTTATTTTATTGATTTTAGAGAGGAAGGGAGAGGGATAGGGAGATAGAAACATTGATCGGCCACCTCCTGCACGCCCCCACCAGGGATCTAGCCAGCAACCTGGGCATGTGCCCTTACCGGGAACTGAGCAGGTGACCTCTTGTGTCAGGGGTTGATGCTCAGCCACTGAGCCACACAGCAGGGCTGCCCCCTGTTCTTGAAGCTTTTTTCCATCCCTCAAACACAGTAAGTTTATTCTTGCCTCAGGGCCTTTGTGCTAACTCCTCCCTCTCTAGAACTTTGGATGGCTAGCCCCTTCTTAATTAAGTCTTAGCTCAATGTTATCTCCTTGACAGAACTGTCTATAGATGTGACAGTGCTCCAATAAGTCTTCACTGATGAACATTGAACATTGAGTTTCATATAATTTTCACACCTCACGAAATATTCTTTTGATGTTTTTTATCAACTATTGAAAATGTAAAAACCCTTCTTAGCTTTTAAGGCTGTACAAAAAAAAAAAAACAGGATTTGGCCCATGAGCTGATCCTCCATACCATGAACCTGTTGTATTTCCATCTTACTAGTATCTGAAATTATCTTATTTACTCATTCGTTTATTTGTTGTTCATCTCTCCAGGTAGACTGTGAGCTCCTGGAAGGCAGGTTCTTTGTCTTAGTCACTGTATTATCTCTGTCAACTAGAACAGTGCCTGGACTGTGGAGGTGCTTTATGAACATTTGGTGATAGGATGAATAAATCTATGTTTCACGAGCCACCAAATCCAACAAGGTCCTCCTTCCACATCTCTCTTATGTATACGCTCTTCCAAGTGCCACACCTACCCAGGTCTTTGCCTCTGTCTGTCTGTCCCTGTAGTAGTATCTCAAGCCTTCCTGACCCCTTGTCTCTCTCCAGGCTACCTTATAGTATAGTCCCTTGCTAAATAAAGTATGTCTTTTACTATGTCATTTCTCTGTGAAAACAAAAACCTTTTCCTAATTTTCCCATCACCTACAGTATAAAGTCCAATTCCTCAGATAGGATCTTACTAATCAGTTCACTGCCTGCTTTTCCAGCCTTATTTCTGAGCCTTCCCTGGAATGAGCCCTCTGCTTGAGCAGCCTCATCTCCTCATTCACCCTAAAGCCACTGCTCAGGCTGTCCCCCAGAACCCATTAGCATTCCCCTCAGGCAGGCATCCCCTGTGTAATAGGAGGTAAGTGCGGTGAGTGATGGGCAACAGGAAGGATGGAGCAGAGCCTAAGGAGAGCCGGAAGATGAAAAGGGAATGTGACCAAAGGTGACCCTGTCGGTAATAAAGTGGGTTAAGGAGGATTTAGTTATTAGGGGAATCATTGAAAAGCGCTGCTTGGTAGGGTAATCTGGGCTAGTGCTTTTCAAACTACTATGCAGACAGATAATCGAGGAATCTTGTTAAAATGCAGATTCTGGCCTTAGGTCTGGGGTAGGGCCTTAGATTTTGCATTTTTAACAAGCTCCCCGGTGATACCCATGCTTCTGGCTCTGGGATGATTCTTTGAGGATCAAGAATCTAACTAAATGCTTAGGAAAGGAGCCTTTTCCATAGGACTTAGATATGGAAACAGGAATTGGCCTTCCCTCAGAGACCGGCCTGTATATCATGAGAACCCCCAAAGGTCCTAGCCGACAATGAAGACATTTCTTGCGATCTGAATGACTGGATGAATGAGAGAGGATTTGTCTTCTTGGTGAAGCAGGGGTTGCTGAAGAGAACTAATGAGTGTGTTAGGCTGCAGCTTAAAGGAAGAAGCACCTTTAAGTCCCAAGTTGGTGGCAGTGAAAGTGGCTTTTGGGAAATGGAAAGAGGCTAATGTTGGTTGGGCTGCTGGCCTGTCATATCTCTCTCTCTCTCTCTCTCTCTCTCTCTCTCTCTCTCTCTCTCACACACACACACACACACACACACACACACACACACACACACACACAACCAAGGAGACACCTCTTCTGATCCACTAGAACATACAGTTCAGAATCTAGGTTTTGCTGGAGTACAAGCAATGTACTTCACTGTAACAAAAAGGAATCATTTCTGTAATGTGTATCTCCAAACAGAAGAGCAGGCAGGAAAGTATTTTGCTGGTATAATAAACTTGCGTGTTCAAACAGTTTCTCTTTAATTATTAGCCTGGCCCTTGTATCTTTGGCTAATCGATAGCTGGCCTTTTGATGAAATCGGGTGTCATTTCCCTGTGGTTTAACTTTGTGCAAACTGTAAATTGTCCAGATTAATGATTTTAAAGGCACTACCTTAACATCAGTAATTTTCCCTCTGCTTTTATCACAGAGGACCTGCTGCCCAGGTGACTGAACTCTGATCCTGACACAGCATGGTAAGTTGTGGAGTGCCTCACCCTACCTGGTGCCAGCCGCAGACAGGTACAGGATGCTTACTCAGTGGCTATTGACTTATTCAGAGGGTTGTTTGCTCAACAGAGGGCAGGGAGGAGGAAATGAAAAGGCAGTTTCTTTCTTTGTTTTTAATATTTTTATTGATTTCAGAGAGGAAGGGAGAGGGAGAGAGAGATAGGAACATCCATGATAAGAGAGAATCATTGATTGGCTGCCTCCTGCACGCCCCCTCTTGGAGATGGAGCCCACAACCCAGGCATGTGCCCTTGACAGGAATCGAACCTGAGACCCTTCAGTCCACAGGCCAACGCTCTATCCACTGAGCCAAACCAGCTAGGGCAAGGCAGTTGTTATTTTTTTTGTGTGTGTTTTTAAAAATATATTTTATGGCTTTTTTACAGAGAGGAAGGGAAAGGGAAAAGGATAGAGAGTTAGAAAAATCGATGAGAGAGAAACATCGATTCAGCTGCCTCCTGCACACTCCTTCCTGGGGATGTGCCTGCAACCAAGGTGCATGCCCTTGACCAGAATCAAATCTGGGACCCTTCAGTCCACAGGCCGATGCTCTGTCCACTGAGCCAAACTGTTTAGGGCCAGTTGTTTTTTAAAGCACCATTTTAATTTCTTTTGGGGGTGGTGAATAACTTGACCCTGAAAATTAATTCAAAGAGAATCCTTTGAATCCTTCTAACGTCCTGAAATACAGAAACAAGTTGTAGGCCATAATAGAAAATTTAGGCAAAGAAAAAAGAAAAACTGAAAACCCTGTAGATTATACCATCAGGAGATGAGTGCCGTCCGCATTTTGGTGTAACCACATGGTTACAGACTCATCAAGAAGGCAGTATCCAGCCATATGGGCTTGTCATCTGCCTTCTGCCTTTGACTGTGACTGGACTCCTCAGAGCTTGGTTATCTGATCTTTGAGACAGGCGGGCAATTGAATCCCTTTGAGGATTCCATAAAGTTCAAGATGAGATGGAAACTGAGACTCTTAGTTGCAAACATGGCTCTACCTGAGGCTGGCCATCTGCTCTCCTTCTCCCACCCAAATACGGTTTCTGAATAGGCAGGTGATTCTGACCCCTGGTGTTTGGGAAGAGAATAATAGAAGTAGAATCTTATACCTGGGGAGAACTAGAGATCCCGTCAGATCTGGATGCCTTCCTTTAGAAAGATGGACTTGTAAACTATCCCGAACAAATAGTAATATTTAAAAAAATGTTTACGTTAGACATTTTAGAATTTTCTTCATCATCTCTGTCAGTCAAAAGCTTACTCATGTCTGTTCCAAATCATTTATGCTTTCATTTAAAATTCATTCCTTCTTGATAGATTCTCCTTGGACATGTCAAACATTTATTCAGAAATGTTTACAGTGCCCTTACTTTGTGCCAGATATGGTATTTGGCTCTGGGGACTCAAAATTAATGGGACACTCCTCCCGTCCGTAACAAGTTCACAGCCTTCCCACAGGTGATGACTGTAATCAAGAGATCCTTTAATGTGCTTTCTACTCGAGGAAAATTACCTCAGTTGCTCTCATCTTTTCTCCTAGCGCCTGTTTTCCCATCATGATTGTTACTTATTGAACAGATGAAGGAAATTTTTTAAAATATATTTTTATTGATCTCAGGGAATAAGGGAGAGAGAGATAGAAACATCAATGATGAGAATCATTGCTTGGCTGCCTCCTGCACGCCCCCTGCTGGGGATCGAGCCAGCAAGCTGGGCATGTGCCCTTGACTAGAATCGAACCCAGGACCCTTCAGTCTGCAGGCCTAGGCTCTATCCACTGAGCCAAACCAGCGAGGGCCAGATGAAGGAAATTTTTAAAGGAAAGGAAAAACACACAATAGTCACAATACTGTAATTTCTAATTATTTTTCATCATTTTATTTTTATACCCTACTCAGATATATCATGGTTTTTAAACAAGTAGTAATAAGAGCATAAATAACAGTTAAGTATGTATTTACTCTAATTTTTGCAATGCTAACATGTTTATATTACATTTTGTACCTTATTAAAACTATTTACTCTAGATGATGAAAGTATGGATGTTTTCATTTTCTTCATAAATTTTAAAAAATATTTTCCAAATCTAGACAGTGATTATATGATACATTTCTAAAGGGAAAACGTGTTTTAAAAGCTATTGTACTCAGGCATTTAAAAAAATGTATAGAGGTTTAATTTACATGCAGTGAAATGCAGAGTCCGTACGGTTACTGGTAAATGAGTTTTGACAAATATTTGTACCATGTCATGTATTTCTCTAACACGATAGGACATTTATCACTCCAGGAAGTTCACTGATGCCCCTTTCTGTTTCTCACCCCACACCAGAAATGCAGCCATTTTTCTGATTGTTATCACCATAGATAGTGACTGTTTTGCCTGTTCTAGAACAGCCCATAAGTGTAAACATAGAGCTTGTACTCTTTTGTGTCTGGCTTCTATTGCTGAGCATTATACTTTTTGTAATCCATCTGTGTTGCTGTACCAGCAGTTTGTTACTCCATTGCTTTTTATTGTTGATTAGTATTCCCTTATGTTGCATCCAGTCCTTTTTACTTTTATCACCTTTATTATCATTTCAATAACTGGATACTATCTCATTGATTGTGATATGTCACCTATTTCTAGCTATTCATTTTTGTCATTCTCCCCCACATCCTTCCTGCTTCCTTTGCCTGCTATCACGAGAAATTTTTCTGGGGTGGAATCCCCTGCCTTCCCAGAATGAATAATGGTACATTATGCCCTGGAATGTAATCAATATAAATATTTTAGAGGTGACAGGAACAAATTTCCCAAGCTTATCTTTTTCCTAGAAAAAAAGAGTCACTAAGAATGCTAATTGATAAGCTGAACCATGTTTGCAAATCCCTCTATCGATTCATCTTGTTAGATAGTAATTTTCATCTCTTAGTCCCTTAGTAATGCATTTTGAATGTAGTATTTGAGTACCATCCAATTTTTTTTTCAACACTGGAGTTCCAAAAGAACCTTGTGAAACATTCAACTCAGGAAGCTGTCTCATGGTAGGGTCAAGGGCTGAATTAGGCCATGTTGGAATTTTGAATTATAAATATGCTTATTACAGGCAATATATAGTAGAAGAAAAGAAGTGCCTGTGTTAATTTCCTGTAACAAATACTACGAGCTGGGTGACTTAAAATAATAGAAATTTGTTTTATCACAATTCTGGAACCCAGAAGTCCATAATCAAGGATTGGCACAGCCATGATCTCTCTAAAACCTGTGGGATGGTTTACTGTCAATCTTTAGGTGTTCCCTGGCTTGCAGCTGCCTAACTCCCATCTCTGCCTTAATCGTCATATGGTGTCCTCGCTGTGTGGATCTGTCTTCACATGTTGGTTTCTTATAAGGACACCAGTCATATCAAATTAAAGAATCAACCTACTCCAGTATGGCCCCATCTTAATTTATTAATTATATCTACAATGATCCTATTTCCAAATAAGATCACATTCTGAAGTCCTGGGGCTTAGGACTTTAACATACCTTTTTTGGGGGAGGGGGATGCAATTCCAACCATAGCAGTATCCAAGAAAATTAAGATGATAGATTTCTACTTTCCTCTGCCAGGTGTATGAGGATGATGATCAAGTGCTGGATGCTGACCATGTCTAGGAGGTGAATGCCTGGTCTTTCAGCAGATGAGGCCCATACTCTGTGGTACCTGAGGGCTTTGGATGGGCTTGGTGTGGTCCATGGTGGGCCTGAGAGGGCCAGGCCAAGGTGGACCAGCTCAAAGAGCTCAAGTCTGACTTGCCAGAGAACTTCCCTAGTGTATAAAACTCCTCCATGACTTTAGATGACCCATATTGCATCATTGGGGCAAATTAAATCGTTAGAAAGCTTTACATCTATTCTACATGGTTTTTGACACCTTGTACAGATATTCTATTCCGGGTTTTGCTTTGGCATTATCCCATAGGCTTGCATTAGGGATTTTAACAGAAATATATATATACAGTATAAGAATCTCATAATTATGTTTATTTTGGAGATGTTGCTGAAGTCATATTTAATTATGGTAATGATAGCCACTGAGGTTGAGTTTTTGTTTTAGAGTTTACTGTTTGCTGGGTTCTATGCTAAGTGCTTTCCTATATTATCCTGCTTCATTATTACAACAACCCTGTGAGTTGATGTTATTATTCTTAATATACAGGTGGGAAAAATTAAATTTCCCATAGACCATACAACTAGGAAGAATTGAAGCCAAGATTCAAACTTGGGTCTATCCCACTCTGATTTCTGTGTTCCTCCCCACTAAGCTTTACTACCTCTCACTATAGCCTATAAAAAAATAAAAAATAAGAACCACAGTAGTATCATCATCATACCTAAAAAAATGTTTACACTGATTACTTATTGTCATCAATATTTTCAGTGTTCAAATTTCCAATTGTCTCTTAAATATGTTTTTTTACTGTTTGATTCAGGATGCAAATAAGGTTCATTCCTTATGATTATTGGTATGCCTTTCAAATCTCTTTTTAGCTGTAGTTCCTTTCTATTTCTCTCTTTTCTAATTTCCCTTGTAATTTACTTATCTATAACCCTGTGGTATGGGTTAATATTTTCTTCTCTCATATTTACTGTAAGTTGGTATTTTACTCTAGAGCAGGGGTGGGCAAACCTTTTGACTCGAGGGCCACAATGGGTTCTTAAACTGGACCGGAGGGCCGGAACAAAAGCATGGATGGAGTGTTTGTGTGAACTAATATAAATTCAAAGTAAACATCATTACATAAAAGGGTACGGTCTTTTTTTTCAATAGTTTTATTCATTTCAAACGGGCCAGATCCGGCCCGCGGGCTGTAGTTTGCCCACGGCTGCTCTAGAGGCTTGATCAGATTCAGATTTGATTTGATTTTTCCCTTTGTGTATGTCTGTGTTGGGAGGTAGGGAGTTGGGTGAGCAAAATTACTGCATAGGTTGCTGTATCACTTATTTGACTGCTCTGCTCTTTGCCCACCACCTTCAGCCACCCTGGCCTCCAGCTGCTCCCATAAAAGCCAGTTCCAGCCCCAGGGCCTTTGTCTTAGCTGTTCGCTCTGCCTGTAACACTTTCCCCCTGATCTTTGCATGGTCAGCTGCTTCATGTCATTGGGATCTCGGCCTGTATGTCCCTCCACAGAGCAGCCCCTCCAGGACCTCTCTATCTGACCCATAACACTTCTCACCACCGGACACTTGGTGGAATATTTGTTTGTTGTCTTGTTTACTATCTGCCCTTCCCTCCCCTCCCCCCTGAACTAGGACATCAGCTCCATGAAAGCAGGAACCTCGTCCCTCATGGTCCCTATTGTATTCCTCGCACCTAGAATAGTGTCTGGTCCATGGTAGGTGCTCAGCAAATTTTGCTGAATGAGATGCTTCCTTGTCGGTCAGATGCTGCCTCTCAGGCACCTCTTTCTCTGTGTTCAGGCAACCAAAGGAGGCACCATCAAAGCTGCTTCAGGATTCAATGCCACTGAAGATGCCCAGACCCTGAGGAAGGCCATGAAAGGGTTGGGTAAGTGTTGTGCGTCACAGAGTTGCACAGAGTACTGTGTCCACTGGCCACTGTGAAGAGGTCTCACTCTAAAAAAAACACAGTGGGAACCAGTTGGCTCTTCAGGACAAATTAGATGAAAGGGTCTTAATTATTAATTTGACTATAAAAATTCTAATTTAATGTCCTCATTCTATCTTTTTCCGATTATTTAAACCTGTTTTGCATCACAGCATTTTGAATCTATATATAAATATTTAGAAATGTATTTGTTCTCCAGTTAATGCGAGATGTGTTGTGCCATAAGGTTCATAAAGCACTTTCACAAATACTATCTCAGTGGGTATGTACAGTCACCCTGTGATTTCGTGAAAGCAGCTATTGCTACTGTTACTTTTGCCCCATTTTACAGATGTGAAACTGAGCCCCAGGGAAGTTAGGTAACATAGTAAGACACATAGTAAATAGAACTGAGCCAGGACTCACACTCAGCAGACCCAGTGCCAAGCTCGGCTTGCCCACGCTAAGGTCACATTCTTTCCCTTGAGTCCTCTGCCTGTTGCTGTGATAGGCACAGCTGCCCAGGACCCACGTGCAGTGTCTGGGACTTTATGTGACAAGACTGTGTGTACACGACTCAGAGGGCTTGCCTTCCCGTGCACTACCCTCCACTTAGCTCCCTGAGACCAAGGCTTCATGCCAGGTGCACTGCAGGCTACCCTGGCCCAGGTCCTTGCCTGGGTGGACATTTGGCCAGAGAAGTGCTCCCTGGTTGTAGCTGCTATTTAGAATTTCCCTGAGATTTAGGTAAAAATCTTGGCCATGAGGCCTCAGTCCTCAGTTTTTCTATCTAAGAAGAAATAATTTTACTTAGCCCCAATGCTCCTAATAGCAGCAGTAGCAATAACAATTATAATGAACATTTGGTAAGCCCTACTATGTGTCAGGCACAATGGATTACATGGATTACCTGTTTTAATCCTGATAGCACTTTTACTGATGTGAAAGTTGAGATTTAGCCTGGCCGGCATGGCTCAGTGGTTGAGCATGGACCTATGAACCAGGATCCTCGGTCAGGGCACATGCCTGGGTTGTGGGCTAGATCCCCAATAGGGGGCATGCAGGAGGCAGCCGATTGATAATTCTCTTCATTATTGATGTTTCTATCTCTCTCTTCTTCTCCCTTCCTCTCTGAAATTAATAAAAAAAAATTTTTTTTAAATGAAAAGAAATTTGATATTTAGGGAGGTTTGCTAACTTGCCCAAGGTCTCAGAAGTAGTCAGTGATAAAGTCAGGATTTTAAGCAATTGCAGATAGTCTGACTGCAGAGCTGGAGTTTGAGCCACTCTGCTATAATGCTGCCCAGCTCTGAACAGATCATTGTTCTAAGTCCATGTATTTATCTCCTCATTTTCTATTTTTCATTTTTAAAAATAGGAAAATGTACCTGGCCCACTCTTTTTCTCAGGTTTACCCTGATTCTTTGGTATATGTCAAGAACACCAAAATTTCAGAACTTGGACCACATGGCATTCAGAATTGTCAAATCAGTGTCAGGAGAAATTTGACAGAGCCAATGCTTTCAGTGCTGCTGTGTGTGGGCCGTTGGAAGTTGGACGGTTGGAGGAGGCGAGGGTTATAAAACCTAGTCCTTGTGGTCAACTAGTCCATGGAGACAAGGTGGCTAAGGCAAATGCAGAAATAACTGTGACCAGTTCATAATAGGACAGCAATAGGAGGGGCACAAATAAGATCCTATTAGGGTTCAGAGAGGAGATGGGAACCCCCACACTGCATTTGGGGACATCAGGCAAAACTTCATGGAGAATGTAGACTTTGAGGTGGGCCTTGGGAAACAGATTGAGTTTTAATAAGTAGCGCTAACAGAGAGTGCGTTTCAGGTGAATGGAATAGTGTGAACAAAGACATGGGATGAGTGTGAGGATCGTCCCATTCTCCAGTTTAGCTGAGGCCTAGGGAAGTCACGGTAAATACATGGAAAGGCTTTTAACCTGGGTGTTAGCATTTTAGAGATCCTTCAGGAGTTCTGGCCACCGACTAACAGCTCCCTCCCCAGCCGGGACCTCTTGGCAAGACTGTAACTAGTGATGTTTGTACAGCCAAAGACTCTATTTTGTGGTCTAAGGAAAATAAAATTGACTTATGTTTTTAAAAAAATACCTGGAAAGGTCTCTTGTAGCAGGAGGTACTTGCAAAGCAGGAGTTGGCTGCCTGGGAACTGTCTGAGAAGGCAGGTAGCAAAGGGAAGTCTTTGAGTGCTACTGAAAAGGCCACCTGTGGGGTCACAGACATGGAGGGTGGATGGCCCAAAGGCATTGGCCAGGAAACAACCAATGCCAGAATCATGATGCCAAGTGGAGAGGCTTAGGGAGACAAACCAATAGCCTGGCAGTGAAGGAGGCCAGGAGCATGGAGTACAGCACAGTGGGGTCAAGTACAATCAGTCAAGAGCTTAGTCTGTGGGTTTGGCTGCCTGGTATCCTTTTATATGGATCTCTCTTCACACTAGTGAATGGGATGCTGTACAGAGTCTCAAATGCCTGTAGTAAAGCCAGCAAACAGTGGGGAGCCATTGTGTACTCCTGGTTAGGGGAGGGGACACTGTGAGAGCTTTTCTTTCTAGGAAAATGAATCTGGCAAAACTTTAGAAAGACCGATTGGTAGGTAAGCATACAGGTTAGCAGACTTTTGCAGTCGTTTAAGAAAACAAAACCCTAAAATCCTGAATGGGAGTGGTAGTGGTAGGAATTTAAAAGAGGGACCAGATGCAAAAAAGATCCCAGAGCTAGATTTTGCATGACTTGGCAGGAAATTTGAATGTGGAGGAAGAACTAGGGTAAAAAAAAAAAAAGTCAAAGCTATTTTGAGGGTTCAGACTTGACTGGAAGAAGGATGGTGCCTTTCACAGAAAATGTGGTAAACAAAAGGCGATGAGCCTTTTCTCCCTACCTGAGATTTCTCAAAGAGTAAATAATGGTTGTATCTATTAGAGAGAGAGAGAGAGAGAGGAGAGAAGAGAGGTGGATGCCTAAGGTATGTAAGTTTAAAGTCTTGTAGTTTCTTCCCTACACCTCACATTTTTCTGGATCTCTGATCTTGCAAAGAATAACCCTGGTGAATTTATAGTTTTTCATTTCTCTCTGAAATGTTTCAATAGAATCTTCTGTAGCCCGTAACAACTCCCACACAGTACAAACAATGAGGAAACAGAAAACTCACAAAACATATGTGAACATGCAGCTATTGCTAAGACGAGGGACCAAAAAATCAGAATAAATGACCCTGTCAAAAAGTTGCTGCAAAAAAAGCAGGCAAACACAACTTAGGGCATTTCTAACTTGTAATTCATATTGGGAAGTTTTGGTAGGGTAGTGCGTCATGGAAATTTATGGGCAATTATAAAAAAGGAACCATCAAAAAAAAAAAAAGGGAACCATCTGAGATCAGGAAAGACGGCTTGGAAATGAAAAACACAGTTACTTATATTAAAATGCAGTAGATGCAGTGAGCAGCCAAAGTGCCAAATAGTGAATTAAAAGACAAATTTGAATTGTTTCAAAACTCAGAGAAAATTATAAAGAGATTAAAAATGAGGAGAGAAAAGGTAAGAACATAGAAATAGATACAGGAGACCCAAAAGGCAGTATAACAATTCCAGAGGAAGGGAAAAAGCATGCTCTCAATCAACATTTATTGACTAAGTGCTAAGTCAGTGATTTTCAACCTTTTTCATCCCATTGCACACATAAACTAATAGCTAAGATTCTGACAAAAATTTAGGTATAATTTTGATTGACTTGCAAAAAAATAATAGTAATTACGTAACCTTTTGCTCCAAAGTGACTTTTTAAAAAATCAGGTGCCTATACTTGTATATAAGGATTTCTGGTACCAAGAATTAACCAATCAGATGCAACCTTAATATGTGACATGAATAATAAGATGCAGTTGTGTTATATGACCTATATATTTATGGTTCAGATGGGGCATTCACACCCAGCAAACATTGTTGTGTTGGCTGTTGTCATTTTCTTACTTGGCAATCTAAGGGAAAAGAGGTCAGTGCCTTTTAAATAGTCAAGTATTGCATGTTTTAAAAATTCTTGCATCACACGGGCAAATCGCTCTGCTAAGTAATTCACTTAATTGTTCTAGGTAACACTTGTAGTGACCTTCAGATCACTCACATTTGTAGATAAGGAAACTAATGCTCAAAGAAGTGAACTATTTTGTTGGGTGGCATATCGTTAATTAGGGAGGCTAAGACTAGTGTCTGTGTTCCCCCAAAACAAACAAACCTCTTTTCTTAGAAAGCTCTCTGCATGAGTTTGGGCGACTTCCGTTTCCACAGAGGAACTCATTTTCTCATTCCTCTCTCAAATCACACTCACTGTCTCCGCTGCACCGCCAGGCACCGACGAGGATGCCATCATCAGTGTGCTCGCCTACCGCAACACGGCCCAGCGCCAGGAAATCAGGACGGCCTACAAAACCACCATCGGCAGGGTAGGTCACAGTCGCTCTGATCTAGATGCCCGAAGTGGCCCCGTGTTTTTGAAAGGTGGATGCTTTGCCTTGTTTAAAGATGTTCTTAAAAAAACACACAAAGCGGTTTCAACATACTTCCTCACCTCTCCTTGGCAAGAAGAGATTTGAGGGAGCTCCTGATTCACAGAGCTCAGGGCCAAGCTTGGTCTCTTCCCACCCAAGTCCTTGCAGGGACCTGGTTGTTGAATGGACTCAACCATTGAGCCCCAGGCAGAGCTGAGCTTGCAGCATTGCTCCCTGACCCTGACTAGGCTTCTTTTAGGCCACTGTGGATGAAGACCCTCCACACTGACTAAAATATTTAAATCCAGTTTGTTTTAAACAGGCTCTCCTAGGGTTTAGGGTCTATTCCGACACTCCCACATAAACCCGTCTGTAGCATATGTGCATTCCTTTGATGATCCTCAATTGAGGAACCCCTCAGATTCTAGAATGGGGCTTATGTGTTTGTGTATATGTGTGCAATTCATTAACGTATGCATTCAGAGGTTGTTTATTCACCATGTTTTCTCCTTCTGGTTTGAATCCTCATACCCCTCAGGAACCCTCTCTCTGTCATTTTCAACGACTCACTTACCAGAGTCATCACATCCTGTTTTTCCACATCACTGAAAACCTACCTGTGTGATGAGTGAGAATCTTTTTATTGAGGAAACATCAATGAGTTTACCAGGTCTCAGAGTTCAGAAACTCTGATAAGTGTTTCTATTCTTTTTTTTAAAATATATTTTTATTGACTTTTTTTTTTTTTTACAGAGAGGAAGGGAGAGGGATAGAGAGTTAGAAACATCGATGAGAGAGAAACATCCATCAGCTGCCTCCTGCATGCCCCCTACTGGGGATCAAGCCTACAACCAAGGTACATGCCCTTGACTGGAATCGAACACGGGACCTTTCAGTCCACAGCCCGAGGCTCTATCCACTGAGACAAACCGGTCAGGGCAAGTGTTTTTATTCTTGAGATACTTTACAACCAGTCAGATGTGGCTACTACTCAAAGATAGGCATTAAACTGCTGGGTGGGAGAGGGACAGGCCTGGCTCAGCCGCTCCCCAGGGCATCTGCATGCAAACCTTGCTGGGCACCCCAGTAGGGAATGTGATTATCCATAGCTCAGACTATCTCCATTCCCAATGAATTTTAATGACCGCAAATAGGCATGGGTGTGCATGTGATGTGGGAACTAAAGCATGTTGCCCCACACAGTTGGGGTTAATTATTCCAAACTTCAGAACTAAGCTAATCTAATGGCAGTTTCTTAAGATGACCAACCTTAATGGATTAAGCACTCATGTATTTGTTCATTCATTCATTTGATATGTGGATGTAATATAAAAATAATCACAATAGATTGAAATATTGTGCTATGGAATCAGGTTTGTGAGGACCAGAGAACTTGACTTGACTAGCAGCTTGGCTCCTTACTGGTTGGTTGATCTTAAGCTGGTTCTTAAACTCTCCCAACCTGGAAATGTGAATAAATGTTTTTAGAATTTGGTACTTTGTTCAAATAATTACAGTTCTTTTTAGGAATTGAGCTGTAAGAAATAATTATGAATGACCAAAAAGATACAACTAAATGCCTGTGTCTACAACATTAGAAACAGGGGACTGGTTAAAGAAATTATATTGCATTTATATATAGACATTTCTGCAGCTATTAAAAATGTCATAGGTGAGGACTCAGATACAGAGAACAAAATGACAGTTGACAGAGGGGAGGGTGATTGGGGGACTGGGTGAAAAAAGAGAAGGGATTAAGAAGTACACATTGAGCCCTAACTGGCTTGGCTCGGTGGATAGAGCGTCGGCCTGCGGACTGAAGGATCCCGGGTTCGATTCCTGTCAAGGGCATGTACCTTGGTTGCAGGTGCATCCTCAGTAGGGGGTGTGCAGGAGGCAGCTGATGGATGTTTCTCTCTCATCGATGTTTCTAACTCTCTATCCCTCTCCCTTCCTCTCTGTAAAAAATCAATAAAATATATTTTTAAAAAAAGAAGTACACATTGGTAGTCACAAAATAGTCATAGGGCCCTAGGCAGTTTGACTCAGTGGCTAGAGGATCAGCCTTTGGGCTGAAGGGTCCTGGGTTCAATTCTGGTCAGAGGCATGTATCTCAGTTGCAGGCTCCTCCCTGGCCTGGGCCCTGGTCGGGGATCATGCAGGAGGCAGCCAATAGCTGTATTTCTCTCACATCAATATTTCTCCCTGTCTTTCCCTCTCTCTAAAAATCAATGGAAAAATATCCTCGGGTGAGAATTTTAAAATTTTAATTTAATTTAAAAATAAAGTATAGCATAGGGAATATAGTCAATAATATCGTAATGACTATGTATGGGCAAGGTGGGTACTTGAAATATCAGGGGGACCACTCTGTAAAGCACATGATTTCTAACCACTATACTTTATATCCGAAACTAATACAGAATAATATTGAATGTAACCTGTAATTGAAAAAATGTCATAAGTGAATATTGACTGGAAATACACATATTGTTTTGTGTACAAATACATTTACATTAGTGTCTATAAACTTTTTGATCTCGTGACACCTTTATACTCTTAAATTATTTAGAACATTTTGTTTTTATGGGTTATATCTATTGATATTTACATATTAGAAATTAAAATTTAGGACATTTAAAAATATGTATTTGTTGTTAATTTATTAAGAAAATAATAAAGCCATTACATGTTAATACAAATAACATTTTCATGAGAAATGGCTACCTATTCCAAAAAAAGAATTTTAGCGAGAAGATTGGCATTGTTTTATAGTATTTTTCAAAGTTCTGTGTTGCCTGGCTTATTGGAAGACAGCTAGAGTCTTATATCTGCTTCTTCATTGTTTGCTATTGTGTGGTTTTGGTTGAAGTATATGAAGAAAACCTGGTTTTGTACAGATATGTAGTTGCAAAAGGGAGGAGTATCTTAATAGCCTTTTAACATACTTGTAGATTTGTTGATATATCAAATAGTCTTTGGAAAACTCCACTCTACAATTGTGAGAGAAGGACAGTGAGGAGGCAGATGATGTCTTAGTGTTATTATGAAGATAGCTTTGGCTTTGCAGGTCCACTGAAAGGGTTGCGAAGACCCAGGGACCACACTTGGAGAGCGACTAGTTTGAGTTCCCGTAGCGGTTAAGCAAGCTGCTTTCTTGCGTTGCAGGACCTGATAGATGACTTGAAGTCGGAACTGACTGGCAAGTTTGAGCGTGTGATCGTGGGGATGATGACGCCCACCGTGCTGTACGATGTGGAGGAGCTGCGAAGGGCCATGAAGGTCTGTGCTTTTCTCCTCTCGCGCTCCCCATGCTGCTGGTGCAAATGCTACGAGCTTTCTCCTGAAACCCTGACAAAGGCCCTCTGAGAGGGGAGGAGTGGGGCTGAGGCCTAGGAGAAAGATTTTCCTTCCTTGATGACAACTTAAAAACATGGCATTACACTATAGCAATTGTAACTTAAAAGTTCTTTTCCAGCCCGGCTGATGGGGCTTCATGGTTGAGCGTGGACCTATAAACCAGCAGGTCACGGTTTGATTCCTGGTCAGGGCACATGCCCGGGTTGTGGGCTGGATCCCCATTTGGGGGCGTGCAGGAGGCAGCCAATCAATGATCCTCTCTCATCATTGATGTTTCTGTCTCTCTTTCCCCCTCCCTTTCTCTCTGAAATCAATAAAAATATATATATATTTTTTTAAAAAGTTGTTTTCCCAAAAGGTATGGAATTATTCTCTTTCCTGTGGCTCCGTAGGGAGTGGTTATGGTGCTGTTGTTTTCGCTCCAGAAGCTTTCATGCCGTGTTAGCTACGTTTGAGACATGAAACTTTGCAACTGACACCTTGGGGGCCTCTGGGTCTGCTGCAGGCTCAGAACTGGCAGAAAAGCGTTCTCAGCCTCCCTGGACGCCAAGCCACTGTGCTTCAGCCCAGGGCTCTGCTGATTTTTAATGACCAAGTTTAACCTACAAATCCAAGTACTCTCCTCAACCGTGTCAATAAATATTTAGTCTCATGGATGGTGCTTGAAAAACAAGGTTCTTGAAAAACAAGGACATAACAGCCTTTGCCTGAAGACTCTGCCTTCCAAGGGGAAGCACAGCCCGATCTAGGGGAGAGTAAGCCCCTGGAGAACGGAAACTGCCTACCCTGGCACAGTAACCAACACATAGAAACACCCACACATGTTTGTTTCACTAGCAGTGACCACTGTATATGCGTTGGAATTTGAGCAGGACAATGAAAAAGGAGAAAATCCTGTCGCTAGAACCCTGTGGGTAGTCTTTATTCTCTGCAGATTCCTGGTTCTATTCCTTCTCTCTCTGGGCCTGGGCTTTGTGAACTGACTCACAAAGTCCTCTCCTCTGGGTTTCCCATGCAGGGGGCTGGCACGGATGAGGGCTGCCTGATCGAGATCCTGGCCTCCCGGACACCTGAGGAGATCCGGCGCATCAACGAGACCTACCAACTGCGTATGTAGCACCCTCAGGGGCCCTGGTTGAGGTTTCTTGGTGATCTGAGAACTAGCCTAGCAATGGCAGGTTCCCACGGGTCAGACTTTCTTCATAGAAACAACACTACGAGGGGTCCTCACTTCTAAGCTCCATGGCAAGGCAGGTCCCTGTCCAGACAAATGATTGTCTGTTGGCTTCCCATGACTTCTCAGGGGAATTTGTTGCTCTACGTTGGCTACCCAGTGCCTAAGGGACCTACTACCATTCATTACTCTGAAAGCTGGAAAGCTGTTTCTTATCATCAGGGAATCGAAGGTGCGTGTTCAAAAGTGGTGGCACCAGTGAATCTTAGCATTCCAGGGAATGGCCTGGAGGGGCTCTCTCGCCCAACTCCTTACCTTCATTCAGACTGGACTGTATGTCCTCCAGCCATCTCAGGAAGATAGCCATTATTCCCTTCTTAAAAATCTCCAGAGGCTGGTACATATGAAGAGCCTGAAATGATGCCTGCCTTTTTGCCCTAAGGATATAATAAAGAATGCACAAAGGTTTAGATCTCATAGTGTTTATTCGGTATTTGTTATATTAGCTAAAAATGTCCAACAGTTTAGCAGATTAGCTAAATAAAATACGGTACACCCACACAGCAGACTATTACGTAGTCATCAAATGTATATTGTGGGATATTATTAAGTTACATTAAATAGTATGGTATATGGATAAGTGAAAACTACAAATCATAAAATAGTATGACATGATCCCATCTTTTTAATAGAAGGAACAATAATATGGGTATGTGGGGTAAACATAAGGAAGGATATGCACCAAAATGTGATCAATAATTATTTTTGGGTGATTAGATTATGGTGAGGTGGGTTTTTTTGTTTTTAATCCTCCCACCCACCCCTGCATTTTACTTACTTACTTTTTCCTAAGTTTTCTGTAATAAATATGTACTACTTTGGTAGAAAGAAAACAAAAAAAAATAATGGTTTTTTGGTAAGTGTTTAGAGAAGGCTGTTCTAAACCTTGGGAGTTTGGTTCTACACTGGATGCCACGTCTGCCGAAGGCAGGTCACCCCCCCCCCCCCCCCCATGAGAAGGGCGGCTAGAGGGCTGTAAGGGTTGGAGCTTAACTGAGTGACATGGCAGAAAAGGCACGTGCTAGAACTGGGCTTGACAACCCCCAGCGTGTTCCCAAACGTGGTTCTGAAACCCCACTGTATTTGTTTTTCAATGGTTACTGTTCTCTCCGTCGCTGAAAACTGTTTAGACAGCCCCCTCAAGAGTAGGAGCAGTGAGGATTCGGCCCAGCCTTCTCCACCTCCGACTGTAAGGAACAAGAACATCTTGTTTCCGCTATAGTGACAAGCTGCCCTTATGGTGTCCATTTTACCAGAGTTGTTTTTGGGAAACTGTGCATGAAGTGAAAAACCTCATGAGGAGCTGCCCGGGTAAACAGGCTGTTCCCGGAGGGGACAGAAGGCTCTGGAGTGTGGCACAGCGCCAAACAGGGCTCTGTCCTGATGTGGCCAATCTTACTTTCTTGCTAGAATACGGGAGGAGCCTTGAAGATGACATTCGCTCTGACACGTCCTTCATGTTCCAGCGGGTCCTGGTGTCTCTGTCCGCGGTGAGTGGCGCCCTCTGCTGGCTGCTTCTGATAGGGGTTGGGCTTATTGGCATGCTCCCTGTATTCCCGTTTCCAGGCTGTCTTATCCTTTCAGCTTCCCAAATGTGCACATTCTTGGGCCTCTGTGGTGGTTTATCTTCTCTCCTTTAGAAACTCTGACTAGATATGTACATTCATTGGTTCTAATTCGTATGTACAAGTACCTAATATCAGCCTGGTCTCCTTATGACTTAATGCATTGGGAGTTATGAGGATGATTAACAGGCAGTTCCTGGGCTTTAGGAGTATCCTATACAATAAAAGGCTAACATGCAATTGTCCCCTCGACTGGAGTTCAACCGGGAGTTCAACCAGGGGGCGGTTGGCCCCTCAGCCCGGCCAGCCTGGCCCAATCAGCCCTGATCGCGGCAGGCCGGCCAGACCGCACCCGGGCACGAATTCATGCACTGGGCCTCCAGTATTATCATAGGGAATATATCAGGCACATGGTTGCTATAAAGGCTTGAAGCATACGTTTCTAAGGAGAGACACAGAGTAAAAGGAAGGTTCAAGGAGAACTTTGGCTACAGAAGCAAACAAAAGGCTTCACAGCAGAGGTGCAGGTTCAGAGAGGACTTGGAGTCTTGCTAGGATGTCAAGAAGCAGAGGCGTGGCTGGGTACATTCCAGACAAGAAAAAAGCAAGAAGAAGGCAAGGAGGCAGGAAACACGGGGTGTGATCTGGGAACAACAGACTGAGCAGCCAGGCTGGTAATTCTGTTAACAAGATGGAAGGATGAACTGGGATTCTATGTTAGGAAGAGTTACACTTTCTTTGGAGAGCAGTAGGGAGCCACTGAAGGGTTGGGAGCAGTAGAATGATGCGGTTAGAACTGCATTTTTACAAGAGTAATGTAATAGTCGTGGGTAAGATTAATTGTCATGGCAATGAGTTGGAGGCTGGAAGACGAGGTAGAAAGTCGCCTCAATAGTCTATATGAGAAATAAAGCAGTTCAGGGCTAGTGTGGGAGCAGGGGTGCCAGAAAAGAGATGATACACAAGATATTTCACATGACTTCCCAATTATATCTTTATCCCTGACCTCCTTCCTAAGTGTGAAATTCATTTCTCGCTGCTTTTTAGAGGTTTCCTTATAGATATTCTGCCATCACCTCAAATTGGTCCTCCTAAACTAAACTCATTTTGCCTCCACATTAGTTCTTCCTGACTTGTCTTTTTTTGTTAATATTGTTGTTGTTCAAAGCAAAACCCTGGAAATCATTGCCAACTCCCATCTTGCTCTGCCTCTGATATTTACTTAGTAATGCAGCTGGCATTTCTTACTTCTTACCCATTTTCCCCCTTTTCCTCCTATTTACCACTAGAGGCCGAGTGCACAAATTCGTGCACTGGTGGGGTCCAGCCGGCCTGGCCCCCAGTTGGTGCAGATCAGGGCCGGGCCTGTCGGGGGTAGGAGGAGATGGCAGAAGATTGGGGTGGGGGGGGCCAATTGAGGGCAGGGCCAGCTGTGGGGAGGGGCTGTGGGTGGTGGGCCAGCCAGCCCCGCCCCCAAATGGGGTGGGGGGGACCAATCGGAGGTCAGTGGCTGGGGAGGGGCCGTGGGAGGTTGGCTGGCCAACCCCATCCCCAATTGGTGGGGGGAGGGGCCAACTGGGGGTGGAGCTGGCTGGGGGTGGGGGTCAATCGGGAGTGGGGCTGCAGGAGGTTGGGGTAGGAGGGGCTATCAGGGGCAGGGCCAGCCGGGGGAGGGGCTGCAGGAGATTGGCTGGCTGGCCCCGCCCCCGATCGGGCAGTTTGCTGGCCGCAGTAGGCCGGCGCCGTAGCGACCAGTTGTTCAGGTCGTTATGGCGTTCTGGTTGCTGGCTTTTTATATTTATAGATAGGTTCTGCTGCACCATGCCTAGACCATAGAATATTGAGACAGCATAGCAATAAATATAGTCTGAGAAACCAGAGGAAAGTAGCCTGTTTTGCCACTCTTTAGCATTCCTCCTGCCCTGGTGCCCTGGTGATGTCAAAGGGGCATGTTTTCATGTGCTCCTTCAGCCCCCCCTGCTGGCTGGTCCCAGACATTCTTGATTCTCCTCTGTTCCAACCCATCTGGCAGAATTCATCCGTGTAGACTTGCCGGTTCCAAAGGCTTGAATCCGCTGGAAAGAGGCAGGACTGGGGGGCGGAGGGAGGTAGTCGTGGAGTGAGCAGTCAGCAGGCAGCACTCATTCCCCTTCCCTTTCTAATGTTGCAGAGACGGTGCAGCAGGGCTCTCCCGCTGGTAATGTCCTCTCGGCTCTGATCAGAGCCACAGGAAAAGCGCAGGCACCCTCAGAGGATGTCTGTCCTTTCTCCCTAGGCTGGAAGTGTGACTCCTGGTGGCATTCTGCCTTGTTATCGTGTCATTGGGTTCCCAGACATTCTGTCTTCTCCAAATCTTCGTGACTACCCTCTCGTTCTCTTTGGTTTGTTTTTCCCATCCTCAGGGTGGCAGGGATGAAAGCAATTTCCTGGATGATGATCTCATGAGGCAGGATGCCCAGGTGAGTAGAACTGCAGCTTCTTTCTTCTCTTTTGCCAGTAAGACAGTCCTTAATTGGTGAACCCCCTCTTATATTTCAGTGCATATTGGTCTGGCTGGGATATGTTAAGAAAAATAATCCTCACCGATAATGTATAAGCACAAGTTTCTTTCAGAAAAACCTGGGGCTTGCGGGTGGCATGAGGCATCATTATATAAGCACCCCTGGATTCTAGATTTCTTGACATTGGGGCCATGATGTGGCCGGAATCGAACCCGGGACCTTTGAGTCCGCAGGTAAATGCTCTATCCACTGAGCCAAACTGGTTAGGGCAACCCTTGGTCTATTTACTATGGCCAGATAACACTAATAATAATAGCTGATAAAAAGTGGGTCTTTTGCCCTAACTGGTTTGGCTCAGTGGCTAGAGCGTTGGCCTGCATACTGAAGGGTCCCAGGTTTGACTCTGGTCAAGGGCATGTACCTTGGTTGTGGGAACATCCTCAGTGGGAGGTGTGCAGGAGGCAGCTGATCGATGTTTCTCTCTCCCTTCCTCTCTGTAAAAAATCAATAAAATATATATATTTTTAAAAAAATTTTAAAAAGTGGGTCTTTTACCGGGTACCAAACACTGTTTTAGCTTTTATATATATATATATATATATATATATATATATATATATTATTGATTTTTTACAGAGAGGAAGGGAGAGGGATAGAGAGTTAGAAACATCGATGAGAGAGAAACATCGATCAGCCGCCTCCTGTACACCTCCTACTGGGGATGTGCCTGCAACCCAGGTACATGCCCTTGACCAGAATCGAACCTGGGACCTTTCAGTCCGCAGGCCAATGCTCTATCCACTGAGCCAAACCGGCTTCAGCTGTTTTAGCTCTTGATATGGTGTATGTCATTGAATCCGTGTAGTATTCGTGTGAAGTAAGTGTTGTTCCCCCTATTTGGTGGAAATGGAGACTCAGAGAAGTCAAGTTCCTTGCTCGAGTTCATAGAGGTAATATATGGCAGAACTGGGACTTGAGCCTGGGCAGTTGGATATACAACCATAGAGGAGGACTAGTCCCATTCAGTATGTGAGGTATGAGCCACTGTGGATTCTGCAGGCAAGAACCTGTTGCTGTCCCTAGAGGAGAGAGGGGTATGTGTGTCATAGACAGGTAGCATTCTGAGGACTCAGGGAGGCGCAGGCCACCCAGGAGACACAGGAAATTGCCTTCAATCCAGAAGCTTTGAGGAGGGAGAAGGTATTGAAAACAATGGAACTCTTGAATGCTTTTGTGAATGTCAGCTACCTCAAGGAGAGCATGTGGGGGCATGCTGGAAGGAACCTCCGGAGCCCAGGTGAGTCCCAAATTAAATGAAGACTTAGTGAGCAATTTACTCCTGAAACATTATATTCATTATCAAATTTTTGTGGGTTTGCTAAGTGCCAAGCATTGTGTTAACTACTGTACATGTTTTCCTTACGGCAAACCTGGGCAGAGATTATTACATCTGTTTTAAAGATTAGGAAACTGATGCGGATATTTCAATAACTAGTCCAAGATCACAAGGTTGGTAGAATTGGGCTGTTTGACAAGAAAAACCTTGTCAATCTTTGCTCTTTAATTTGCTTCAGCAACAAGGGTATCATTGGCAGACCTTGGCTATTATAGCCGGATTTGGATGTAGCAAAGTAAATGAGTTTGAGATGAGGAGAATGATCAGGTCAGGTGGAATTTGGTAGTAATTACTTATAAAAGGTAGAAATTTTACAATGTAGAGGCTATTATCTAACCAGTTCAATCTTTTCTGTTCTTGAGATGAAACTAGCACAAAGTGGAAATAATAGGTAGTGTTCAGAATTCCTACTTTAAAAAGAAAGTCATGATATATTAAAAATGCCCTTCAAAGCTTTTGCTAGAAGATGGCCCAGATTTGATTCCCTTGTTCTGGGGGGCCGTGTGGGGGGGGGGAGGACCAGGAAATGTAAAAATAGGGAAACCTGCTTCAGCACTGGAAACGACGGAGGAGGGCCATTACAATGCCAGATGGGCAGCAAACCTGGGCCAAGGGCGCAGGAGGGCCACCCTGTCCCAGAAAAGAGGCTAAGCTCCCTCCAGCTGGGAGCAGGCTTCATGAAAACAGGAAGAAACTCCGCAGAGAAGACTTGTGCTGTGTCTCGGCTGCCCTCAGTGGACTAGCTATACGTGCTCCTGCTTGAAATTCATCCAAATGAAAAGTGAGGAGCTCCTAGAAGAATCCACTCACCTTGTTCCGGGGCTGTGTGTTTGGGGGGTTGGTGGGGATCAGGTCTGCATAGACTGCTCATCATTTAAGGATGAAAGAGCTTGAAAATCAACAGATTCTCACCTCAAACGCCATGTGGCCTATAAACAAACTGAGGCATGAAGGGAACCAAATAGGGTCACGCTGTAAGAAAGAGAAAGATGCCAGATTGCTTTGGGCCCTAAAATAATTGAGGGAAAACATGGGTTATAATTAAATGAGAGCTTTAAATAAAGATGCAGTGAGAAAGTAACAGAGCTGAACAGGAGCTGGGCGAAGGGCAAGCAGAGTGCTTTGAAAAGGGGAGCTAGATGAGTTGAGGAGAACTGTTCTTAGATAAAACAGGGAAAACCAGGATTTTAAAGTTCATTAGAAGCAGGAATGATTTAAAATGATTTTGCTGAAAATGGAATTATTGTTGTGGAAAGCTATACAGAAAAAATATCTCCAGAATTCAGAAGAAAAGGATGAAGCAATTAGAGAAAAGGAGGAATGTAGAGGGAAAATGATGGCGATTAGAACCGTGACAAAAAGGATGTGGAAAACTTTGTACTGATACGTACTTAAAGGTATAATAAAGGTAAAAAATAAATTAAGGAATGTGGTCTTGGTGTAAGAATGTGAGATCCCAAGGAGTGATTAGAAAGTATAAGAGCAGAACCAAGCCTCTGTGGGAATAGACAGGCAGCATTCTAAATCTGAGGAAAACAGAGTACTCAGTGGAGTTGGGACAACTGACTAACCATTTGGGAAAGAAAAAAGTTAGATCCCAACTTTCATGTCATAATGAATTCCAAATAGATTAAGTGTTTAATGTAAATAAATGAGATCAGAAAGATACTATAACACAATGTTAAATATTTTTTAATCTGGAACTGGGAAAGGATTTTATATGCCTGACACACAAGACAAACCATAAAGGAAAATGGCTGGTAGTTTGGCTACATTCAAAAACAACAAAGCCCTAGCTGGTTTGGCTCAGTGGATAGAGCATTGGCCTGTGGACTAAAGGGTCCCAGGTTTGATTCTGGTCAAGGGCACATGCCCGGATTGCTAGCTCGATCCCCAGTAGGGGCATGCAGGAGGCAGCCAGTCAATAATTCTTTCTCATCATTGATGTTTCTATCTCTCTCCCCCTCTCCCTTCATCTCTGAAATCAATTAAAAAAAAATATATATATATATATATATATATATATATATATATATATAATCTCACAACAACATCATACAAATTTTTCAGATAATACCAGAAATAAAATTCAAGGTCAAATGATAGAATGGGGAAAAGTTTCACCTTATGTATAAATAAGCTTAACATATATTGTGATACTAGAGCATAAGAATGCTCTAGTATTTTAATAAATGGACAATAGACTTTTTATTGAACTTATTGGGGTGACTTTGGTTAATAAACTTATATAGTTTCCAGGTGTAGGGGCAATGGACTTTAACAGGCAACTCAAACAATTAAAAATAGAAATGGCAAATACACAAAAGTTGTTCAACCTCACTAGGTATTAAAAAGATTTTAACACAAAAAATACAATTTCCACCCATTATTTAAAAGGTTACTCTTTTTAAGGTCATTTTTATGGTATTTTACAAAAGTATCATTCTGTGACAGATTGTAAATTGTTTCTTTATCCACATGTTCTAGTTACTATTGCTGCTTAGCAAACCACCTCAAACATAGTGACATAAAAATAGTCACCATTTTATTATGCCCATGGATTCTGTGGGTCAGGAACTCAGACAGAGCTGCCTGACCTTTTATGATCTCTAGCCTCAGAAATCAGTGTCACTTCCACCATAACTTTTTTTTAGGCTTATTTTTTATTGTTGACAGTATTACAGATGTTCCCTATTTACCCCCTCCATCCAGTTGATTGAAGCAGACAAGTCTGCTCAAATTAAAAGTTGGAAAACACTGAATTAGATGAACACTTCATGTCCTCCCAGCTTTAAAATTTCATGATTCTGTGAGTTGGCACTAAAGCAATTAGGCAATTAGAGAAAGAAGGGAAGAAATAGATGAGTATTTGGAGGTAAGCCCAATGAATGACAAAATGTGTCAAGGGCATTTTGAAAAAATTAACAAGCCAGCTGTTCATTATAAATGAACAGTAGGGTTTTAAAACATTTTTTAAATAAAATACACATAACATACTAGTAAAATTTACCGTCTTAACCATGTTAAGTGTACATTCAGTAGTGTTAACTCTATGCACATTTGCAACCAATCTCCAGAACTTTTCCTCTTCCTAAATTGAAACTGTATACCCACTAAACAGTTTATTTTCCCCACTCCTCAGCCACTCACCATTCTACTTTGTGTTTCTATGAGTTTGACTACTCTAGACACTTCATATATAAGTGAAATCATACAATATTTGTCTTTTTATGACTGGCTTATTTCACTTAGCATAATGTCCTCAACGTTCATCCATGTTGTCATAATTTCTTTTTAAGGATACATCGTATTCCATTGTATGCATATAGCCCGTTTTATTTATCCATTCATGTGTCGATGGACATTTGGGTGGCTTCTACCTTTTGGCTATTGTGAATAACACTGCTATGAACATGAGTATACAAATATCTTCTGAAGAACATGAGTATACAAATATCTTCTGAAGATCCAATTCTTTTGGATATATCCTCAGAAATAGGATCGCTGGGTCATATAGTAATTCTATTTCTAATTTTTTGAAGAACGGCCATACTGTTTTCTACAGAGGCTGCCTTATTTTACATTCCCACCAACAATGCACAAGGATTCCAATTTCTCCACAACCTTGTTGGTACTTTTTTTTTTTTAATAGCAGCCATCCTAATAGATGTGAGGTGATATGAACAGTTGTGTCGATTTACCAATAGCATAGCTAAAGCAAGTAGAATCAATTTCTTATATTCCTACCTGGTTGGAATATAAGTCATTACTGATGGGTCTTGGTTTTACTGTGAGACCTTTGTAGCCCCAAGCAAATCACAACTCCTTTTAGAGCAGTGCTGTCCGATAGAACTTTCTGCGATGTGTGGAATGTTCTACTCTGCACTATTATGAGCAGCCACTAGCCGCATGTGGCCAGAGCACTTGACGTGTGGCTGGGAGGCTGAGGAGTTGAATTTTTATTTTTTTATTTAATTTTAATTAATTACAATTTAAATAGCCACATGTCGCTAGTGGCTATTGTAGAGGACAACCCAAATCTAGAGCATGCCTTTTAGCTCTTAAGACAGAACCATGTCGTCTGCATGTGACCGCCCTGACTCTCGTGAGATTTTATAGGGTCCCGTTAGTTATATACCTGAGGAAAAATCCTGAGTCATTACCACTCACCACCAATAACTCTTCTACTATCTCCAGCAAAATCAAACTAAGCCATCTCAGCTCTTTAAGTTCTGGAAATAATGTGGATATGTGCTGGCACCTTCTCTGTGGTGTTTTAAACTTGTGCTTTATTTGGCTTCAGGACCTGTATGAGGCTGGAGAGAAGAAATGGGGGACAGACGAGGTGAAATTTCTAACTGTTCTCTGTTCCCGGAATCGAAATCATCTGTTGCATGGTAAGGCGCTGGCTTCATCCTCCAAAGAACCTGTTTGAAAGCTAGTGAACACTATATTGCCCATAATTAGTGGATAACCTTTCCTCCTTTATTTGCTGCAAACACTGATTGTCCTGGACTGTCTTACATGTCTTACCTTGGAAATGTGTGAGTGTAATTATGTGCATGAGGGCCAATTTCTGAAAGATCAACGATGAATAATTAACAGATGTATTCATAGAAGTTTGGCATTCCTGTTCATAGTAAACCAACTTTCATAGTCAACCCTTTTTCTAGAGCAGCTCTATTTAAATTGAGTTACATAAGAAAAAACCTTCAGTACATCAGCGAGCAAGAAGATAGAAATAAATGTTGGTTGGCATTTATTCCTATTTAACATCCCGGTTGTAAAACTAACAGACGTGATCTCTTTGGGGGGTGTGTTCCATCAGTGAACAGTGGATAATTTAGATTTTATTTCCTAAATGGAATGTGTCTAATTTGCTTCTGACAATGCTAGTCTACATCATGTGCTTTTAACTTCTTTGGGGAAAATATACCAAACAATTGTAGAATATTTGTTGTCAGGTTTATTTTCTTCTTGTAAACAGCAATGAGAGTTTAATAAGATATTTCATTTTTTATAAGCTCTTTATGTCTTTATGCTAATGTCATAATTTTATAAACCCACTGTGGCCTTATAATCACAATTTGCAAAACTTGTGGGAAATTTGAGAATGAGTTTGCAAAACTGAAAACGAAGTAATTGAAAATTACAACACATTTGGAAGTTGGAATTATTTCAGATGTTCCACAGTGACGAGAAATAGGTGACTACTCCGTTAATAAGTGTCATGGACTATGTCACACACCAGATGCACCACCTTCTGACAGCTCCCTGTTCCTTTGCCTTGCCTTGCCTGATTACTGTGCTAATAACACAAATCTCCCCCTGGTGGTACTTTCCAAAAACTGCAAGTCCTCAGAAGTTGATTTCATGCAAATACATCTGTAACAAATTTCACTTCCAAGCACAAGTCAATAGTTGGGCAGTTATAAAATAATCTGTTTGTAAGCCACTGGAAGAAAATACTCTAAGCATTATTTTAATAAAGAAAACTTTATAAGTTTCTTACCCACCAACAATAATAAGAAGAATTCGTAACTAAGGTTTTGTTAATTCTCCAACTTCTAGGTGTTAGTGCTAAGCATATTATAAGCGTTGTTTGTTCAACATCCCAATGGAACAGCTATTATTTTCCCCATTTTACAGTGAAAAAGACTGAGGTTTAGAAAATGTGTCAATTAGATTTTTTTATTCCAAGCAATATACACTGATTCCAATTTAAGATTTTTTAAAAAAGGAAATAGTATAGAATGGGACAAGAGGGAAAATGGAGACTATTGGTGGCTTATTGAATTGAAGGGAGAGCTGAACAACTCCAGGAAGAACAGAAATAAAAGCAGATCTGGGGGGTCTCACTAGGAGGGAGTCATGGATTTTATTTCTAAGGCAGTTTCCCAAAGTCTGGTCTCCATGGAAAATGCTGATTCTTGAACCCCTACTTGAGTCTGGCTGACTTAGAACAACCTCTGAGAGTGACCCTCCAGAAGTCTAACAGGTCCCCCAGGTGATTCTTTTGTTCTCTGAACGTGATTTTGGCCATCCCCAAGATCTCTGTACTCAATTTAAACATTCCCAGGAGCGTGAGACTGATTGGTGCTAGCTGGGTGAACTGCTCACTGATTCGGTAGAGCTTATGGTATATGTTGAGGGACAGGGATGTTCTTGGATTGACAGCCCTGTGAGAATCACACTATTGGGAGGCCAGCATCCCAAAGAAGGTGATGCTAAGATGATAAACAAAACAGGTATCCACTCTAAGAAGGCAGCAAGAGAGGAAGATACATTTATCACGTTCAAAAACTTGACAAAAAAAGTGAAAAATGTCAGTATGTTAAAATCGATTAAAAGATGCAACCAATTTTGAAGAGGTTGGATTGCTCTAGTTTTGATGAGCCAAAAGGAGGATAATGGGTGATTGCCAAGGCCAAAATTATAAAAAGACACATTCATCTGATTACGGAAACAATGAGAACAGAAAGCAGATCTCTCCGAAGGTTATCCCCATTTGATGCGTGAGAAAACGGGGTCTCAGAGAAGGGAACAGACTTGTCTGACATCCTCCTCTCCTCAGGCTCATTCCACTTACCACAGGCCTCCTGGGTTCCACCCCATTGCTAATTAGCTCCTTCCAGAAATATGCCAAAGAATAGTGTGATCTTGTTAAAGGTGCTCATTCTCTCAATAAATGTTAATGTCCTCTGTTCTTTTTTTTATTATTTGTAATTCCATTTTGTTATTGTTTGTAGTATTTGATGAATACAAAAGGATATCACAGAAGGATATCGAACAGAGTATTAAATCTGAAACATCTGGTAGCTTCGAAGATGCCCTGCTGGCCATAGGTAAGCTTGGCATGGGTTGGGGTGGAGAAACAAATGTTTATAGACTTTGCTATCAGTTTGTAGTCATGGGATGTAGTAATTTTTTTCAGGGATAAAAAAAATTGTTTAAATCACTCATGCTGTGACCCACAATTTTAAACAAGAACTATTATATTCAAACCTGATTTTCATTGTACCATGTGGCTTTATATATTTTATAACCTCTGTGCCTTTGTACTTAAGGGTATGAGAAACATAATCCTTTACTAGCTGCAACTTATAAGTCTGTGAATGGTTAAAACGAATAACTTCATATGGTAGAGATGGTAATCATTTTTAAACTATATGCTGCCTTTTGCTTTAATGGCCTTTATTAATTACTTCTCCAGGAACTTGACAATAAATGAGTGCTTCCCATCTGTGAAAGTGCTTTCAGCATAGCCTGTCTTCATAAAACATTGCTTGGCTACAATTTTTCTGACAAAGAGATACTACTTCATAGTTTATAGAAACAGAAGGAACAACTGTCATGTTTTCTCATAGATTTTATCGGTAATCTTTTCATTTCTTTTTTTTAATCTCTTAACAGTAAAGTGCATGAGGAACAAATCTGCATATTTTGCTGAAAGGCTTTATAAATCTATGAAGGTAAAGGCTTCTTTTTAAGCATCTGAATGGCTCTGACTTGTCTTGTGTCCAAATAAGACAAAATCAGTCTAATATATTCAGTTTAATTGATCAATACTTCACTGAGTGCCTGCTAATAATACTACTAGGTAATATTTATTGAGTACTTATAATGTGTGATCATTCTAATACTCTGCATATATAGGGTGTCCCCAAAAATGTATATGTATACTTTGAATAATCATAAAGACTATGCTTATTAAAATACATTTCATTTCCAAAATTGAGCTACCAGCTGTTAAAGTATGTATACATTTTGGTGAGGAAACCATGTAGATTAGTTTTATTCCCAAAACAACCTTATGAGGTAGGTACTATTATCAACCCCCATTTTACAGATGAGTAAACTGAGGGATAGAGAGGATATGCAATTTGCCAGGGTCCTCATTGAAGAAATACTGGAGTTGGGATGCACACACTGGCAGTTTGGCTTTAGAACTCAAGCTCCTAACCATGCATTGTACTCTATGCCGGTACCTTTGCTGGGAACCAGGGCAGTGCAGGAAAGATGAAAATGTAGTCCCTGCTCTCAAAGAACTTCTAGCCTTGTGGGGAAGGCAGGTATGTGCAAAACACCAATAAGAACAAAATAGAATGCAATACAGTAATTGAAGATCAAAACGTTACAGGAACAGAGAGGATAGGGTATTTTTTTTTCAAACATTTGGTGTTTTTAGGTGTAGATCAGAAAAGAATATATAAAGAAATTGTTATGTTTAAGCAGGACCTTAAAGGAAGTTTGACATTGGAAGATATTACATGGGAGAAAGGGTGGGGAGGAAAGGATACCGTGGGTTGGATGGGTGGGAAGGAATCATTGCAAGCAAAGCTTGTAGCTGGAGAACACAGGGTATGTCTAGAGTGTGAGAACAGAGGATTGGGAAGGTGAGTTGGTGAGGAGAGGTATTCCACATGCCCCTTAGGTCGTGGCATAAAGGACATCATCAGGAGAGTCATGCACAGTCTTGCCCTGACAGACTAAAGAGCGCTGAATGGAAACCATCTAGACCTTAATAGGGTGGGATCTTGTTCTCTTCCCTAGGGCTTGGGCACCGATGATGACACCCTTATCAGAGTGATGGTTTCTCGAGCGGAGATTGATATGTTGGACATCCGGGCACACTTCAAGAGGCTCTATGGAAAGTCTCTGTACTCCTTCATCAAGGTAGGGAGTCTTGCCCTGGCCCCGGGGGAAGCTCTGATGAAAGGACGGGGTTCTGACCTAGGTATTTAGACACTTCTTATCCTCTCCTTGGCAGATACCATTCCCTTTAAAGGTGCTACTCTAATTCAGAAATTTCCAGTCTCTCTCCTTTCACACAGATGTTTCAATCTCTGCCAGGTTAGAAGCTGGAAATGTTTGCATTGTAAATATACTAATTATTTCACGTTGATCCCAGACACAGAAAGATTATATTTTAATGAATACTTTAAGAGCCACAATTTCTCTGTCAAGATAAGCAACTAAACCAATCCTCCAGAATCCGATCCAGGGCCGAGTGAGGTCTGCTGAGAATATAGGAAAGCATACACCATCATGTATTGCACCATCATCTTTTCCTGGCACTAGACTTCAGGGCGGGCTAACATGGCATGGGAGTGATGAGAAATGAGTCACATCCCTAAAAACCCCTCATTATTTGGGTTCTGCTTCTGGAGGAAAATTATGAGGCCATGAATATGAAGCCAAGACCCATTTCCCTAGAAGCTAGTGTTGCCTGCACAACAAATTCAAATCAGGATGTGATCTGTGAATTAAATATTCTGAATCCTACTGAGAGCTTGGAGAGGTACAACTATTAGGTGATTTGAGCTACAGATTTTCATGGTAGTATTATTTATTCAGGAACTTGCTTCTATTTCTATCTGGCCTATGAGGCAACTTTATTTTGCAGAGCCGATATATAGCTAGTTGTAAATAAAATACTTTAAAGATTCATAGATGGCCATAAACAAAGTTATGGGAAAAAATATTTATAACATATAAAATAGGGTTGGTATCTCTGTATTAAGAGCTTCTATAAATCACTAAGGGAAAAAAAAGAGAAAACCCCAAAAAACAAACCTGGGAAAGGATATTAAATATGCACTCATGAAAGACAAAACACAAATGGCCAATTTATAAAAAATACTTAATCTCATGAATATTCAATGAGTTGAAAATAAAAACAAATCATTTTTCACCTAATATATTCACAAAATTTGGAGAGTTCATAACCAGCATTGGGAGGGGTTGGGGGAAACTCACCATCTCTTATGGAAGGACAATAACACGGATCTAACCTTTCTGGATGCAATTTGGCAATTATCTGTTTGAAAGATGAACTCTACCTCTTGCTTAGCCATTACATGTTTAGGAATTTCTTTAGAAAAAAATAAAATTAAAGCCCATTAGTCCACAGAATGGGAGAAAATATTTGCAAATCGTAGCTGATAAATTAGGTTTATTATCCAGAATATATAAAGAACTACAACTCAATAACAAAAAGATAAACAACCCATTTTAGACATTTCTCCAAGGAAGTTATACAAATGACAAAGAAGCACATGAAAAGAGAGTCAACAATATTAATCATTAGGAAATGCAAGTCAAAACCATAATGAAATACCACTTCATACTTAGTAGGATGACTATAATTTTTTTTAAAAAAGGAAAATAATAAATGTTGGTGAGAATATGGAGAAACTGGAACCTCGTGCATTGCGAGTGGCACTGTAGAATGGTGCAGCCACTGTGGAAGAGAGTTTGGTGCTTCCTCAAAAAGTTATACATATAATTACCATATGACCCAGCAATTCCATGCCAGGTATATACTCAAAAGAAATGAAAACGGGGATTCAAACAGATATTTGTATGCCAACGCAAACATTATTCACAATAGCCAAAAGGTGGAAACAAGCTAAGTGTCCATCAACAGGTGAATGGATAATCGAAATGTGATATATAGACACAGACATAGACATAGACACAGACACAGACATAGACATAGACATAGACATTGACATTGACATTGACATTGACATAAAGAATGAGGTTTCTGAAACATGGATGAACCTTGAAAACATGCTAAGTGAAATAAACCGGACACAAAAGGGCAAATACTGTATGATATCACTTACATGATGTATATAGAATAGGTAAATTTATACAGACAGAAGTGGATTAGAAGCTACCAGGGACTTAGGGAAGTGGGGAAATGGTGAGCTACTGCTTCTTGGTGGCAGTTTCTGTTTGGGGTGATGCAAGGGTTTTGGAAATAGCAATAAGGGTTGCACAACATTGTGAATGTAAATAGTGCCACTGAATATATACACTTAAAAAGGGCCAAAATGGGAAATTTTGTTATATATCTATTTTTAGAAATCTGACAGAATCTGAATAAAATTGTTTTGTGAAATGTTAAAAAATATACTAAATATTATATTTTCATTGTAGCATTACTTACGTTATATTATTTCATATTATTTATATTTAAATAAATAATATGGCATACATTTTTGGGTTTTTTTATTTTTTTATTTTTGGTTAATCGTCACCCAAGGATATTTTTCCATTGATTTTTAAAGAGAGTAGAAGGGAGGGGGAGAGACAGAGATAGAGAAACATTGATGTGAGAGAAACACATCAGCTGGTTGCCTCCTGCACGCACCCTGACCAGGGCTGGGGATTGAGCCTGAAACCAAGATACATACCCTTGACTGGAATCGAACCTGGGACCCTTCAGTCTGTGAGCTGATGCTCTACCTACTGAATCAAACCAGCCAGGATGGCATACTTTTATAGTGTATAATGTATTATATATTCTCATTTTTTATTAACCAATGGGGGTGATTTAAATAACTTATGGAACATCCATACAATGTAATACTATATAGACACTAAAATGATGGGGTACAAAAATATAGGGTGGGGCAAAAGTAGGAGTGGGGCAACAGTTGTGAGTAGGCGAAACAGAGTTTAATCTTGTTTTATTATTTATTATACTAGAGGCCCAGTGCACAAAAATTTGTGCACTCGAGGGGGAGGGGGGTCCCTCAGCCCGGCCTGTGCCCTCTCGCGGTCTGGGACCCCTCACACACAGAGCAGGGCCGATCAGGGGGTTGGGGAGCCGCACCCTGTCACACACAGAGCCTCAGGGCGATCAGGGGGTTGGGGAGCTCCCCCCTATCAGGCACAGAGCAGGGCTGATCAGGGGGTTGGGGCACCTTCCCCTGTCATGAACAGAGCAGGGCGGATAGGGAGGTTGTGGCCCCGCTCCCTGTCACACATAGAGCCGCAGGGCGATCAGGGGGTTTGGGCGCTGCCCCCTGTCACACTGATCCCGGTGCCAGGAGGCCTCTCGGCTCCACTGATCCCGGTGCTGGGAGGCATATTACCTTTTTACAATATAGGATAGAGGCCTGGTGCACAGGTGGGGGCCGGCTGGTTTGCCCTGAAGGGTGTCCTGGATCAGGGTGGGGGTCCCCACTGGGGTGCCTGGCCAGCCTGGGTGAGGGGATGAGGGCTGTTTGCAGCTGGTCACACACCCTTCAGGGTGGGGGTCCCCACTGGGGTGCCTGGCCAGTCTGGGTGAGGGGCTGAGGGCTGTTTTCAGGCTGGGGGTGACTGAAGCTCCCAACCACTCCTTTTTTTATTTTTTTATTCTGGGCCACCTTTAGCTTTGAGGCTTGGCTCCAGCTCTTAGGCCTCCGCTGCTGAAAGTAGGTTTCTGGCCTTTGCTTACAATGTTACGATCCTGCTGGCTGAAGCCCGGTGGACTAAAGCAGGTTTCTGGGGTTTTGTTTAGCTTCTATTTTTGTTACATAGTTGCTTAGAGTTGCAGCTCAGAGGCCTGCAGTGGCAGGCGGGGAACGTTGGAGTTCTCCGTCACTGAAGCAAGCAAGCCTCATGTTAGTTTCAAGCTGCCTGGCTGCCGGCCGCCATCTTGGCTGGCAGTTAATTTGCATATTGCCCTGATTAGCCAATGGGAAGGGTAGCAGTCGTACGCCAATTACCATGTTTCTCTTTTATTAGATAGGATTATTTTCCATATAAACAACTGTAAACCTACTTTTGCCCCATCCTGTATTGATTAGCCTGGGGAAACATCACTATAAATAAATTTATATTACATATATATATATATATATATATATATGTAAATATATATGTGTATACATACACACAACACTGTAAAAGACTAAAAATAAGGAAATTATTGCCCATTCACTAACAATTTTCAGAAAGGGCATAATAGAAATATAAAATATGTAAATAATAAAAAATGACAAATAAGGTAAAAATGTAAGTTATAATAAAAATAAGTAAACTCTCAGGTAAGGTAAAAATATAAAATCCAACTCCATGGTATTTATAAGAAACAACTATAATACAGTGACATGTAAAGAAGCTTATAAAAAGACCAGGGAAAAGAACATTTGACAAACACGAAAAAGAAAGTAGGGTTATACTCTAAGTAAAAAAAGAATTTAAGAAGAAAAAGCATTAATAGGAAAAAGTGGATCACTTTATATTGATAAAGGCAGTGATTCACAACAGAGATTACATTCTTATGAAACTTTAGGTTCCAAATAGAATTGCATTCAAGTGTACAAATAAGACATTCGAGGCTCCAAAATAAGACATTGATGAAAATACTATGTGAGGGAGACTTTAACATACCCTTATTCTTTGGCAGATCAATGAGGCAAAGTATAAACAAAAATATATTACATGTATTTTAACAGATGTAAATTAAACTTTGAACCCTATAAATACAGATTCCATTTTTTTAGTGCCCATGAAGCACCAGCAAAAACTGATCTATTAATTAGCCCATAAAAATTTCTATGTAGAAATTATAGCACCTTCATGTAGGCTATTTTGCAACCCTTATCAAAAGGCGTAAGAAAACACATGATCATTAATCCAGTAATTCCCATGTTATGAAAATTTATCCTGAGTAAATCATCAAGGAAATGCAAAAAAATTGAACTATGATATATTTATTGCAGCAGTGTTTGTAATAGTGCAAAATTAGAAACAATATACATATCCAACAATGGGGGGAGATCAAATAAATTATTTTACCTATGTACAGTGGAATTCTCTGTAGTCATTAACTAATGATGCTGTAGAAGAATATTTAATGCATTAAAATAGGGAAATATTCAGGCTATATTAAGTAAAATATCAGAATATAAAATACTATAGTCCCATCATATAGGAACCTATATGCATAGAAAAAAGTCTGGAAGGATAGGCACAAACCAAAATGTTAAGAGTAGTAATCTCTAGATGGTGGAATTATGGATGATTTTTATGTTCTTTTGTGTCTTCACTTTCTTCATCGGACAGTAATATTACAAGTATTACTTTTGTAATAAGCAATAACAAATGTTATTTTTAAAACTCTGCGAAAAATCCAGACAAGCTTTACAAAGCTAGAGACTTCGAGCTGTGTATTCCATTTTAGAACTCATTTATCTGACTGTTAACTTTGCTTTCCTCCCCTCAGGGTGACACATCTGGAGACTACAGGAAGGTTCTGCTAATTCTCTGTGGAGGAGATGATTAAACTGAAATCCTGGGAAGATAAGAGGATTCCCAAAACCTTGATATTTTTTAACTTCATTTTTCTACACTGCTATTAGCATTATCTCAGAACACTTATTTCCAAATTAAAACGCCTACATTTGCCTCCTAGGCTATAGACTGTGTTATTATTCATCTATAATTATAACTCATGATGCTTGAAAGCTGAACTTGTATTTCAAAGCTTATAAAACTTAAAAGGAGATTTAAAATTAGAAATAATAATGTGCTCCATGTTTTTAACAGATTCATCTGTGTTTCACAGAAATTGGGATATATGAAATTATTTCATGGGGGGTTTTTTTGGTGAAAATCTATAAAAGTGGAAGACTGGAAGGCTATTCTAAATCACTTTTCTTTCCTAATTCTATTTTTAAAGTGGCTAGTCATTTCTTAATTTGAAATTGTGAGCTTCTAGTTAGTAAGAATATCTGTCCAATTTCCTATTTCACATAGTCATAGTATGAAAGCACCCACAAATGTTCTTTGTTTAGGTTTTGTTGATAGCATTAGTTGATCTTTACTATGTTTGATGTGAACTACTTCCTCCATCACATCTTATGTTAAGATCACTTACTCTCTCCAATTTGAAGTATACCAAAATCACCAAGTTGTCTGAACAAATTAAATTCTAACTGTGGTATACAGATCATATATGTCTGGTTACCAAACATAAATGCTGGACATTCCACAATATTTTTGTTAATGTCTTAAGTCAGTTTTAAGATGAATGTAATGCTCTGAATTTTACTTAAATTTTTTTGTGCTGAAAATAATTTTTTAAATCATTTTGGATTTTGTCAATTTGTATTCATTTACATTTGCACTGTGTCTTTCAACTTTATAATTATTTTGATTAAAAAGTTCCGTTTGTATACATCATGGAAAAATAATTTGAATAAAACATGGTGTCTTTAAGATGAGGTATACTCTTTATCCGACTTTACCACTTGTGAATTTTTTCTTCCTGAAACCTGAAAGGTATTTTTGAAGGACTTGTGTTACTCAGTTTCTATTAAGAACTACAACATTGAGGGGGAAAAAACAACATAATTAGTCTTATATACTGGTACACCTACTGCTGTAAAACTAATGTTCACATATACCAAACGGTATTCTTACTTAATGACATAAAAATAATGTATTTAATTTATTCTCTGAAAATGAGTGATGCTCTCCATTCTAAGTGGAACACTTATCTATAATAATAAAAGCATAATATGCTAATTAAACCAGATGACCTTCCAGACGAAGCAGGGGCTGCAGCTGCAGGATCAAGGCAGCTGCCAAGGCTGCGAGGGAGGGATCCAGGCAGCCACCAAGGCTGTGAAGGCCTACTCTTGCATGAATTTCGTGCATCGGGCCTCTAGTATTAAATAAGAATATTTTTCTTCTTTGTTCATTCTGTACTATTTGTATTTTGACAGGTGAAATATCAGGGTTTGTTTTTCAATTTGTGTCTACTTGCTTATTATACTAGTAAGTGCTCAAGCAATTGGTAAAAGCTATTTACATGAATACTTAGTAATTCTAGTTAAATATAGGAAATGGTACTTCTGCTTTGATACCTACTCAGAAGAGCATGAAATTTCCAAATAATTTTGATTTTAGAAGCATTACACTTTTTTTTTTGATAGTTTTACCTTTAAATTGTGTATGACTTAGCCAGAATTTTAAAACAAATTGCATTTGTTGACTAGAAGTTTTCTAGAGGGCATGATAAAGCCACCCTAGAGGAATGTTTGTTTTCCTATATAATAAAAGAATAGTATGCAAATTGTCCCCTCCACTGGGAGTTGTCCAGGAGTTTGACCAGGGGGTGGGGCTGGCCTGGGGAAGGGAAGGAGTACCCAGCCAGCAGCCGGCAGCCACTAGGGACCCTACCAGTGCACAGATTTTGTGCACTGGGCCTCTAGTATTCAATAAGTCTGATGTAATACTATAATTATGAAGTTACTTTTTCTCTCCCACCATTTATATTTACTTATTGGGCCCAATTCTTCTGTATTTAGATGAAAATTCCAATAGAGGATAGAATTATAACTTTTTTGGTTACTCTTAGATGATAAAAAGTCCTACTGTGCAGTCCCTTAAGGTCATAAAACAATGATTTCAGTAATTAATATGCCCAGTCAAAATTCCAAACCTGATTTATAATTGAAGCTTCTTCCTTCATTCAGCTCTGGCCTATTGATGGCATTGGGGGAAGGGTCATGGTAGGCCTCTCTTTGTCTACCTAGGCTTCCTTCCATACTCTATCCCTCAGCCCCCAACCTAGCCAGGGTTGTAGTAGTGTTGCCAGTGGAAATTTGGCACCCTCTGAATCTGTTGTGGGCCCCAGTTGGCTACTAGCTGAGAGAGAGAGAGAGAGAGAGAGAGAGAGAGAGAGAGAGAGAGAGAGAGAGAGAGAGAGAAGAGAAGAGAAGAGAAGAGGAGAGAGGCGAGAGGAGAGAGGAGAGAAGAGAAGAGGAGAGAGGAGAGAAGAGGGAATGAATTTGTTCCCTTGGGATTATGAGGTTATAATATCTCAGGCTTGTAAAAGACTAAGACCACCTTTTTCAAAATAACTAGCCAATTTCCCAAGCTTTCCAGACTGCACTGGGCCCACCTTCCAACCAATCTAGTATGGTATTTTCCCAGGCTATGGTCAAGCACCTCCCTAGGTGCCATTCTGACTTCTCTTGTGCATGTGCTTAAGTTCCTCTTCATTGTGCTATCCCTTCTCCCAGTGTTCTGTGGGGAACAGAAAGGTGGTTTCCTGGGGAGTGTGTGAAGCTGTGACTTCCTGGCAAAGCAAGCAAGCTCATGCTCCCCAGTTGATTATACTTAATAATATCTGACTCCATTTGCCTCCTGCCTTTATGAATAACTAGCTAACTGCCTCCACTAACATTACCTGACTGTGCTCTGGTGTTTATGGTCATGCTGTGTGCTGTTGGCAGATGTTTAAAGCTGATTCTTGTGGGCATTCTCTTGGGTTCTTTTATCAACCCCATCATCAGGGAATTACTCATCTTCGGTTCCTTTGGTAAGGCAAATGAAATTCTTGTTTTTCAGCCTTTAAGAATTTGATGATAACTTCAGGTTCTCTGTGCTGCACTGTTTGTCCTTCCATCCAGGCTTCTTGCTGGATGTCTTATGGTGGCCCACACCTGTTTCATGGCAAACACTGGCATATCCTTTGTGTTGACAGATTCTGGGCTGCTCCCCTTGCAGCCATCATTCTCCTTTCCTAGCCCTTACCCCCAAACTGCCCCAGCCAACCTTTCTCAATTCAGATTTCTCAGGGTAAGACACCAGTCCCCTGGGGCCCCCAAACTACATATACTGCTGACGGGAGTATAAATTGGTGAGATCATTTCAGAAGCAATTTAACAAAGTTTAAAGTTTCTAGTAAATTCACTTCTGGGAATTTACCTGGTGAATCTCTTGCACAGGGTGTTCATTACTGCTCTATTAAGAGCATTAAAGTAGAAAAACCTAACTCCTTCAGTAAGGGAAAAAAATAAATTATGGGTTAGTCACACAATGAGCACTGAAAATTAACTAGAGATTTGTCAGTTGAATAAGTCTCAAAAGTATAATTTTGAGAGAGGAGAAAGGTGTAGAATGATAGGTATAGTATAATTCCACTTAATTACATGCCTAAATGTGCAAAAGAAAGTATATTGCTAATGTGTGTGTGTGTATAAATATGTGTGTGCATATGTGAACATGCATGGGAATAATGATATACACCATCATCAAGATAGTGGTCACTGTGAGGGAGAGAGACAGACTGAGATGGAGAGGGAGTGTCTTCCTTTCTGTATCCCATCCTATCTAATAAAAGAGTGATATGCAAATTGACCATCACTCCAACACACAAGATGGCTGCCCCATGTGGACACAAGATGGCCGCCACAAAGATGGCGCCACAAAGATGGCCGCTGCAAGATGGCCGCCACAAGATGGCGCCACAAAGATGGCCAGCACAAAATGGCCGCCACAAAGATGGCGCCACAAAGATGGCCACCACAAGATGGCGCCACAAAGATGGCCAGCACAAAATGGCCGCCACAAAGATGGCGCCACAAAGATGGCCAGCACAAGATGGCCACCACAAAAGATGGCTGCCACGAAGATGGCGCCACAAAGATGGCCAGCACAAAATGGCCACCACAAAAGATGGCTGCCACAAAGATGGCCACCACAAAAGATGGCCACCACGAAGATGGCGCCACAAAGATGGCCAGCACAAAATGGCCGCCACAAAGATGGCACCACAAAGATGGCCAGCACAAGATGGCGCCACAAAAGATGGCTGTCACAAAGATGGCTGCTGCAAGATGGCCGCCACAAGATGGCCAGCAGGGGAGGGCAGTTGGGGGGAACCAGGCCTGCAGGGGAGGGCAGTTGGGGGGGACCAGGCCTGCAGGGGAGGGCAGTTGGGGGGGACCTGGCCTGCAGGGGAGGGCAGTTGGGGGGGACCAGGCCTGCAGGGGAGGGAAGTTGGGGGCGACCAGGCCTGCAGGGGAGGGCAGTTGGGGGGGACCAGGCCTGCAGGGGAGGGCAGTTGGGGGGGACCAGGCCTGCAGGGGAGGGCAGTTGGGGGGGACCTGGCCTGCAGGGGAGGGCAGTTGGGGGTGACCTGGCCTGCAGGGGAGGGCAGTTGGGGGGGACCAGGCCTGCAGGGGAGGGCAGTTGGGGGGGACCAGGCCTGCAGGGGAGGGCAGTTGGGGGGGCCAGGCTGACAAGGAAGGGCAGTTAGGGGTGACCGGACTAGCAGGAAAGGGCAGTTGGGGGTGACCAGGCCTGTAGGGGAGGACAGTTAGGGGAAATCAGGCTGGCAGGGGAGTGGTTAGGGGGTGATCAGGCTGGCAGGCAGAAGCAGTTAGGGGCAATCCAGCGGTTGGGAGCCAGCAGTCCTGGATTGTGAGAGGGATGTCTGACTGCCCATCTGGGATTGGGCCTAAACAGGCAGTCGGACATCCCTCAAGGGGTCCCAGATTGGAGAGGGTGCAGGCTGGGCTGGGACACACACACACACACACACACACACACACACAAATTTCATGCACTGGGCTTCTAGTTCTATATAAAAGAATGAATCAAAGCAAGTATAATAAATT